AGTCAACTCGGACAGAGTTGATCGCTTCACATTTACTCCGGTTCAACCCGTTTGAGCAACAACGACTCGATTTTGCTTCACCGATAATTTTTCTTTAGTTTAATCGACTTTTCAACCTTCGATTCGAGCCCGGTTAAGGTACATTAGCTTGAATCTTCTCCAAATGGCTTAACTATGATTGATAGATAATTTTAAAATGTGAAATTGATGCTTTAAGTGAAACTTGAATTATGGGGAATTTTACGAGCTTGGAACGATTGATTTTTCGATCTCTTAATGTACAAGGGATAAAATGATAATTTAAATTTGGTAAATCATAATAAATTGTCATGAGGCTTAGGTGCGAATTTGATAAGATTCGGAGTTCGTTTGATAGGCGAACCAATTTTATGTGTATTTGATCGGTTGTAGCGATTACTAGTTATATGAGTTAGGAGTTGAACTTGGACTTGACTTGTTGACAATGGACCATACATATATTGGGGATGTTATGTTTCGATTTGCGTAAATTTTGGATGTTGTTTGACTTAGTTATAAAAATCAGGACTTTAGACGTTAATACGGTAAAAATAAAATATTCGTTTGATTGAGATTTTAGCTGCAGTTGTGGATTACAGATCTATTATAAATCACATAGAATATGTATATTAATTAGAGGAAATAGTTATTTTCACCCCGTTCTGAAGTCATACTAAGTTTTTTCACACCACCCAATAAAAAGCTAAGTTTTTCACCCCAAAATGTACGAAGACATATGCGATGAACTATGCGCTAAATAGGCGACAGGTATGAGCATGGGCGAGAAAATTATGAGTTAAAGTATGCGACTGTTCTACGATGAATATTCGGAGATTCGATGTACGATTCGGTCAATCGCGGTCCGTCTCCCATTAAATAATTATTTTTGTTAGGCGAATGAACTGCGACTATTAGTCGAAAAAATTATTCTGCGACACAACTGCGACATACCAACATCGCATCTTATTCGAAGAATTAGTGCATAATAAGTTTTTTTTTCGTACTTCTTTCATCTTTCAGTTATGCCAGGCGGTATGCGAATTACCGCATATTGCTCGCATACCCCCTTCGCACTTCTACTCGAAAGTGTATTTTTTATTTCTTTCATCTTTCAGTTATGCGATGGGGTATGCGGATTTCCGCATATTGCTCGCATACCACATACGCACTGCACATGTACGAAGACATATGCGATGAACTATGCGCTAAATAGGCGACAGGTATGAGCATGGGCGAGAAAATTATGAGTTAAAGTATGCGACTGTTCTACGATGAATATTCGGAGATTCGATGTACGATTCGGTCAATCGCGGTCCGTCGCCCATTAAATAATTATTTTTGTTAGGCGAATGAACTGCGACTATTAGTCGAAAAAATTATTCTGCGACACAACTGCGACATACCAACATCGCATATTATTCGAAAAATTAGTGCATAATAAGTTTTTTTTTCGTATTTCTTTCATCTTTCAGTTATGCCAGGCGGTATGCGAATTACCGCATATTGCTCGCATACCCTCTTCGCACTTCTACTCGAAAGTGTATTTTTTATTTCTTTCATCTTTCAGTTATGCGATGGGGTATGCGTATTTCCGCATAATGCTCGCATACCACCTACGCACTGCACTTCTATTCGAAAACTTATTTTTTATTTCTTTCATCTTTCAGTTATTTCAGTTATGCGATAGGGTATGCGAATTGCGCATATTGCTCGCATACTACCTTCGCACTTCTATTCGAAAGTTTATTTTTATTTCTTTCATCTTTCAGTTATTTCTGTTATGAGATGGTGTATGTGAATTGCGCATATTGCTCGCATACTACCTTCGCACTTCTACTCGAAAGTTTATATTTTTTTTTCTTTCATCTTTCATCGTTTAATTTAGTT